TTTCCTCGTTCCAAACTTCTTTCATGAGATCGCGAAATCGTCCCCCGAACGACCCCTGACATTCGGGACGGGAGAGCAAGTTCTATGCATGAGCAATCAGAGGGGAGAAAGTCGCGACCTCGACCCCTTTCGGAAGCCGCTCGCGTAAGTTGAGCAGTTCCGAATCAAGAGATGAGATTCCGAAAGTATACGCGCCATCTCGTCAGCCCTCGGTGGCATCCACAGAGGAATGCTGTCTGTTGTCACGCCCAGCGTATTCCCGGCGAACTCTACGTTCTGGCTCGGTGGGACGCAATTCCCATCATGCATCGGATCACCCGTTGCGAAACGACTTGATCTCGCCACCCCATTCAGGTCATGTAATGGTCCTGGACCCGGGACTCTTACGACGAATTAAGGTCACAGTGCTCAGACGGAAGCGGACGGAGATTGTTCTATGAATACTGTTCAGCTTGTATCGACTGGATTCGACTGAGGGATCCAATCGAGATAAACTCTCTCGAATAATAGCTCATCTGATTTTGCTGGAGCTTCAGTAGAGTCCGCTTGAGCGATCGCAGTCTTTCCCCGAGAGCATAATTCGTCAGGATACCGAGATAGAAACACCCCGATAAATGACGACCATTAGGCTATCTCATTGAGCCCCGTGTTCATTAGTCTCAGCCCCCGTCGATACCGAAGTCGTATAGTCGTGATCATTCCATGAAACCTATTTTCCCACAGAATTTGTCAAATGCACGGAGCGCAGTAGCCGGAGAACGCCTTCCCGGGTCTGACGTAATTCAGAATATAGTGAAGTTTGGAGTTCTAGGGGGAGTGCGCAAGGAATTCCCTTCTGCGTTATTCTCCCGATTAATGGAACCGGAGTCGATCCCAGAGCGCGGACTAAATGTTTCGTTCATCCACCGTTATCGCGTCCAAGAGCATCGATATCATACCCGGGGGAGTTGACGCAGCAGGTGACGTTAATGAAAACCCTGCGAAAATTCATTCTCCGTCTTCTTTCATGACTCTCGTATCCCCCATTCGATCCCGCGAAATCTTCAACTTGTTCTACATTTTAAATCTCAGATACGCTCACGTTTTCGGAGTTTTTAGTGAGACTTGTCGTCAGGGGAGCCCGAGATGCACGACTAATGACTAATGACGTAATGACCTGACTGTATGTTGTCATGCCTCTGAAAAAAGAGTCCTACCAGACCGTCGTACAAGTCGCCGCGTTGGTTGAGAATCTACGCTCCCCCGATCTATCCATCCGACCCAGCGAAATTCGTTAATATTTCCCTCTCCTTTTTCGCGGGAAAAACTTTCCCTGTGGTTGTCGCGTCTTGAGCAGATAAAATTTCTCTTCCTGCAATGATCGTCCGGGGATGCTCTCACTGCTGCTTGTAGATACACCAAACGTTATCGTGCAGAATGTAGAAACCCATTCAGGATAGGCCGAGAAGGACGAAAAGGTGGCTCAGCGTCGAGTCTGCAACCGCGGGCGTTTCGTTAACTATGGCGGGGATCATCGCAGATTTCTCCGGCAATAGTATTTCAGGATGGACACTCAGAAGTGAAGAAGTTCCCGAGAGAGTGACGAGCTTCGTCTACCTGCCGCGCCGCTGCGTTTCCGAGCACTGCGCTGATTGGACGAGAAATTCATCGAATATCATCCCTTCCAAGGGAGTGCCTGTTTCCATGGGAATCTCAGCGAATGATTCGCGTGATTAAATCAAGATTAGAAGGTGAAATTATATTCATGATCGTCACATGATTGGATACGTGGGAAATTCGAGAGGGAGCTCTTCGTGGCGGGAGTCACGAAGCACGGTAGCCTTCGACGTCCATGATGAGAAAAAATCACGAGAAAAATCATCGTCCGGATGGCCGACGCAAACATATTCGAGGTAATTGTAACACTTTCCCGACATTTTCCCCAATGGGACTCTTCGGGTTCCTTTAATAAGCGGTTGTCGTTATCACGACTAGACGTCGAGCATGATGACGACGGCAGCAAGAGATGAACAACGGCGACGCCGACGTAGGACAAGCATCGACGCGCGTCTTCGGCGCTGGCGCGGTCGGAGCGTTGGGCAACGAGTGAGTCCGGGGCGAACGATCGTATGCACTGGAAACACTTTCTTCAAGTGTCACGAAGACACTATTTGGTCACGTCGTTAAGACCGAGCGATCGACCGCGCGCAGTGAGCGATCACGATGACAACACTAACATCGTCCACAGCGGCGGCAGTGTACGGTGACCGCACAGGCCGATGTTTTGATGAGGAACAAATTGAAGCGGAACACTCTTCCCCGTCTGCGGTTCCACCTCGTGCTACCGAGCGAAAGTATCGATCCACGAGATCAGATGCTTCATCGCCCAAACAGCAGTAGCGGCGATATTATAGAATAAACATTGTTGTCGAATTCGATGCCTGTGATGGCGGCGCAATTTCCTCCTCGAGGCTATCCGATCGACGATCGGTCGTCGGCCCGTAATCACAATTCACGGGCTTCACTGGTGACGCTTCTGTACATTGCGTTATACTCCGGGAGGTTGGTTATCCAGGCGGGTTGTGCTCAATTTTTCATTGTTATGGGGACTCATGATGCAGAATTCGCATCGGAACCGACACTCGAGAGATCAGAATTCGCATCGGAACCGACACTCGAGAGATCAGAATTCGCCTATAAAGGAGGGCTCGCGCTCTGGGTCTCGTCAGCGCGGAAGTGGAGTCTACCAACATCTGTCAGAAAGTCAGCTGCGAGCCTACGGAATAAGGGCTTTGATGATGAAAGTCATCAAAAATCTTTTGCTCTTGGAAATGGAAGATTCGAGGGCGATCCTCACGACCACTATCATGATGACGAACCGCTTCAATTCAATTCAAAATCTCCTTTTATTCAGAGGGCTGCCTGAAAGTATTTAGTACAGGAACCCGCTGAAATATGTCAAGGTGGGGGGAGGCACCGAAGAATTCTGGAGCAAAGTTCCAAACCTCTGACAATGGCATTAGGCACGTCACTCACATGAGTCCCTTATCGATCGTGTTCGAGCGAAGAGGACAGCTCTCGTCGGTTTCCATGTCTTCCAGGGCTCCCGATATTTGCATTCACCCGACCGGAATCGGATTTTCGAGTTCCGCGGCCTTCTTCGTGTCAGACGGGAGACGCCGCTTCCGGAGACTTACATTCCGTCGCGTCCTCTCGCATCGGATGGAACTAAACGATACTGAATACGAGCGATGGACCCTCGAGCCATACCCGGGGTACTTTTGAGCTCCCCCTCGGGAGAATCGAACGAAATATCTTCAGTATCCTTCAAGAGTTCCGAGATTTCAGTCTTCTGCAGTTAGTCGAAGACTTTCCTGATTAGCTCAGGGTTGATCATCAATCATCGTCATCTTTCTCTCCTCCATTCCATAAGTTTCGACTTCCCATGAATTCTCATGTTTTTGAGAACAGCCGGAGTGCTGCGTAGTTGGCGAGGAAAGAGGTCGGCTCGAATCTCGGAGGGAGCGACGTCATCGCAGATAACGAGACGAGCTGGTGAGCAGTGAATGGTTTCCTCTGGAGAATTCCCTGCCCAAAGTTGGAGCTTCCTCCGCATTTTCTAGCCTCTCTGCGGTCGAACCGCACTCTCTCAGTGCTTTGAGTTTCCTAACGTTACGAAAAACGTTTAAAGACTCTCAGAGTGCAATTTAAACTTTTCTCGAGAGATCGTCACTGGCGGGCTCCGCTGCGCGAAGCGTCGACAAACGACATTGTTAGTGAATTGCTCTCACTTGACGCGGTTCACACCCACAGCTGGGCCAATCTGGAGGCCCGCGCCGACGTGCGAGGGCCTGGGCCTGGAGTTTCTCTTCACGATTCCAAGGCTCCGGATATGCGGCTGTCCCCCGACTTCGGACTCGGTGCTCCGTCTACTGCAGGCTCTGAAATGGGTGGTGGATTAATGAGACGAGACGTCGCGGCGTTTCTGCTCGGAACCCCTCGGTTCGCTGTGGTTCATTGAGCGATCGGTTGTTGGATATAACAACGGGACCATCGCTGATATTGCGGTAGAATCGAGCGAGTCTCTCTCGGATAAGTCCCAAATGAGCTCGCGGTGATTTAATTCATGAGCATGTGATCTACATTTGACGAGAGAGGGGCGGTACGTATGTATGTGAGCGTCCAGGTAGGCTGCTCAACTCCGCAATTGAGGTATTGAGTGAGGCCAACATCCCAGATCGAAATACATCGTGAATTCATTACGAGAAGAAAGTCTCGGTCCGATGTTCTTCGGCCGCGTCGGACTCTCATCCCAGTCGCGAGAATCCCGTGACATTCTGGAGGACCAAGGAGATCGATCGCCGAGGAATCGATTGTTTTCATGAAATTATTTTTTTGTTGAAACGAAACATAATCGAGGGACAATCCACTCTAACCGCATCACTTACGTCTGACAGGGGAGCGTCAATCATCATCAGATTGTGCCCCATGTTGACCTAATCTTGGCCCGAGTTCGAGCTGACTCCCAGGAGACGACCCTCCTTGATATATTATATATGTAAATGTTTTTGTATTTGAGCAGCATCGTGAGCCCAATGAAAGTGGTGTGCTTCAACCTCATGCGAGTCCTCACTTCACTCCTCCATCGGAGATCTGCAACCTTCATCGAGCTCAACACAGGAAGCATCGTGCTTCCGTTCTCGATTCGTGACAGCTCACTATCAGCTGAAATCGAAACCGTAGAGAATCGTTCTCCGTGGGTAACTTGTTGGCATTAATGCAGTGGCGGGTCTCCGCTCCGCGAGGCAACAGCCGCATCCGAATTCAATGATCAGTGCGCGCGGCAGACGGGCTTAGTCTCTCAGCGCGCAACACCGTTCTTCGGTTTGGGCAAGCTGACAGTTCAGAGCGGAAGGCTGGAAGAAAAATCGTAGTGTTCTAAAATATTACAATTCAAGCCCTGGCTGGCCTCCGCTGATTAAAATCAGTTTCGTTAAGCGCGACGATCAGCGCGCATCAGGATGAATCCGGACGGTCGAGCTCCGAAGCCTCTGGATCGAGAGCAATGTGTATTTCTAGCAGTGCGCGCGTGGTTGAACAACGTTGCTCCTCTACCTATTGACGACTTGCGAACGAAAGCGCAAACTCTGGGACGCCCAGCGAAGAATCTCATCGCCAAGTCGGGTGGCATCCGAGAACTCCTCAAGCAATGTCCCGAACTCACCGTGACCGCTGGGGAAGTGAACGTGTCCTGGGGCTCAGTCACTACGGACTGCGAGAACTTGGGAGCTCCTGAGATTGCCGCTTGTCTTAACAATCTTCCAAAGAAAGACATCGATCTGCTCAATCACAATCTGTCCAAGCTCCAAGTTGTCTCGAGATCCAGTCGCTTAGTGAACGCTCTCCGGAAACGTCAGGGCCTCGAAGATCTCAAACATCGGTGTGAAATGAAAAGATCTGAAATCAGGCGCCTCAAGGAATGGATTCAGACAAAGAGATCCGAGAATCCGGTCGCCGAAATGAAGAAGTTGAAAGCACTACGGGATTCGTCGCTTAGAAGACTTTCGGAGAAAAAATATATTCACAAACAGAGAGGCGAAATGGAAAATCAACTGGCTGCTCTTGACCAGAGTATAGAGCTCATGCAGCACGAAGTTGCCCGGTTAAGATTGCAGGGAATCCATGTCAACGAAAAAGTGACAATGTACGAACAGGATCTTTTCTTTGAGTCTCACCAAAACCAAAGTCTCACCCGTGATCTTCTGGCGCAGCACGAGAAAGACACCGAGAAGCTAGCCGTTGTCCTCGAAGTCTTGATCCGAGAGAAACTCTCGCACTCCAAGAATGTTCTCGGAGCCCATCTCATGGCTTTGGAGGCAGCGAATATAGATGGAGATCCAATGCAACAAAATTGCCGGATCAGACTTGCTGAAATCGAAGAGCTGCAAGAGGACTTCCTGCGTCGGCTTCGGGAGAATAAGGTGAACTTACAAATGATCTCGCAACTGGAACTAGTGACTATGAAGTCGATCCGATCGCCGCTGCTGGCTGTGAAAATCAAGGAACGTCCCCTCAATGCACCCGTCGCCGCCGCCGCGGCATCCGCGGGGGGAACGAGCGACTCCCCAGCTTGTTCCGCGGAACCTTCAGGAGCGGACAAGGAGGCTGTAATTTGTGCAATATGCCTCGACGGCATCGAACTGGATCCGACGGAGTCTCTGGCCTGCTCGCACAGTTTTCACAGGTTTGAACTATTAATGTATAACTATTGACTACTGACGTCAGTGTTTCTCAGTATTCTTCGTCGTAAAAGAGTCGACGAGTCATGACTGAGCTTGGAACGTATCCTCCAGCTCTAATCATTCTAGTATCTCCGTAGATGTAGATTGAGAAAAAGTCATGCCGACATCTCCAGCCATAATCGTCAATGGCATATGTAATTCCGCTAATAACAATCAATGATCGATACGGATGGGTTATTTTCGTTAGGTAGTTCCGAGAAGCATAGGCATGGACAGGTTTCAGCTAATCCGACTTCATTTTTCAGATCTTGTCTGACAGAGATGCAATCTAGCGGAGGTGTTTTTTGTCCTCTCTGTCGTCGATACGAACCGTCTTCCACGGAATTCCCGCGTCTGTGATATTCACGCCGTCTATAATAATTGTTCAATTTCTCGTTCACGGTAAGAGTGTCTCGTTGTGCAATTCACACCGACAGTATAGTCGGTGTGGAAGTCTACAAACTTCGGGGTCGATCCGGTGTTATGATCCTCGTCTTCGATTCAAAGGAAGATCTATCATACGTTCCTCCTCTCTGCTCTGACGGAGAAACCCTCGGCCGGAACTCCCGAATAAAGAAAACTCCACGCTAACCATGATGTTTTTATTTTATTTTATACATTGTATATACACAAACTTTACACACCGCCGCTAACGCTTGTCGATTCATTTTGACGACCCTCTCTCCGCTCTTTATTGAAGTTCTCTGAGACCTACATGCGGATGAAATCTAGTTCTGAGGACAAGCTGCTAATCCAAGGACTTCAAGAGCTACTCCAGTGAGCAAATCTGCGCGGTTTTGCATAAGTCATCGTCGAGTCTCATTTTCTACCTCCTGAATTCCGTCATCAAATCGTTGGTCTCTGATCTCCCGATATATTCTCCCCGTCCGGTCGATTCCTCTGCGACACAACATCGGAAGCCATCTTTTGAGATTCTAACTGTTAATCCATCGAACGACGGAATTCACGCCAAGAATTCCTCGATTGATTAATCAATGAGTTCACGTGATGAACTACGATATATATTGCCAAGTTCACGGACAATTCCGGCATCCTACAAGCGAATATCAGAGCCAAGAGCAGCGGTTGTAGACAGGAAAAGAGAGACGACTTTAAATAGTTCATAGTTATAGTGATAGTTGCTGAAAGGATCACAATAGGGCATCGAAATTGCACTTTTAAGCAGCAGTGTTTGCCCTCGATCGTATGACTCAAATCATGGCATGCGAGGTAGGGCGCGCATCCTGAGGTTAGCTTGACCCCAGTGCACGTTCGGAGCACCCCGCTGCGCACCCCGTGCTATCCCTGCGAGAAAATGTGCCTCTCACGGTCAATGATCCTCAACCCATTGGATCCCACTGCATCTCCCGATCTTTCCGACCCCATTGGGCATTTCTTCGCCTAAATTCCAGACGATCATTTGTAGATGTTTTCCAGCATCCGAACTAGCTCTTCGCGATGACGTCATCTTTATGATGATGATAACGGGTCATGTGGCTCAAACTCAGCGCTTCGGGAGGGGGTTCCTAATCCTGAGGAATCCCTGATGAGGGATCCCTTATGGATCATGGTGCCCCAGAGGAGTCACACCCACTGAGCACCTCTGAGCGATTTGACGATAACGGGGTAGGGTCCCCAACCGGGGGAGTCCCAAGTCGACGACGCGACGTAAGCGAAAGTTGATCTAGAGGGAGCATTGCAGTTTTCCTCGAAATCAGTCGGGTGGACTCGCAAAGACACCAACTCATATTTTCTACAAAGTCGTTGGGAGGCAGACTTTTTTGGCGTGGAGTACGTTTCTCGGAAATTCAATTTGAAAACAGATGACGGTGCAAAAGACTTCGAGATAACTGATCTTGTCCAAATGTGAACCAAGCGCAGAGCCGCTGACGCTGTCTGGCCCAACAAACGATCACATAATTGCGGTTTTCACGCAAGCACCTTGCGAAGCTCCCGCGCCAAGGTCTTGAACTAACGATTGTATGGAATTTGATACGGATTATGGATAATGCACCGCCATATAAACCTAACTGTGGAGATACAAGTTCTAATTGTGGTTTCCTCGAGCTTTCGGAGACATCTGTGATTTTAGTGGACCTGTGGGCGCTCCAGGTGAGGTTGACAATTTCGAAAACGCCGTCAAGGTTTCCGGGAAATTCGGCGGTGTTGCCGGCGTGTTCGCAGGAGTGCACATCTGGAAAAGTGAGAGAGAGAAATCAGTCAGCGAGTTGATCCCTCCCGCGGCTGCCCACCACCGGGAGCATGAATTCCAGGGACCTCAGCATCATATTCAGAGTTATTGATCCTGTTTTACGTATTCGATAGTTCTCCGTGGAAAGTATATCGGGGATACGCAATTGGCTCACCGGGTTGTACTGAGTTCCTCCGCACTTGGCATTGACCGCCACCTCTTGGAAGAAAATGCTCAACGCAGTCTGGAAAGAAGAGCTTGGTCAGCGGAGAATGTGGAAGAGTGGGGACATTTATGCACATGGGATGATGTCTCGCGAAAATATCAAACGACATGATCTCGACATCTTTCCGATTGTATGTCAGCGCCACAGCGATCGGGAAAAGATACCCTCGAGTCCCGACTGGGAGAGCAGTTTCGGTCTTTTCTGCCTCAACGAATTTCGGCCCCCAATGAAGTTCATGCCACTAATTATACAGACACTACCCTTCGAAATTGAAATAATTCGAGAGTATTCCTGATATCCGACAACGCAGAAGGCCTATCTGCGTCTCTGTGGCTGCGAAACCACGTAACATCGGAGAACGTAAACAATAGCACATGATTGAGGAATGAGCCTCCGCAGTGCCGTATTATTCTCGCTATTCGTGTCATTCAAGAGTCAGCATCCCGCGAATCGAGGAATGTACGAAGGATCTAGGAATTCCCGGATCCTGTCCATAACGAGCCACGAAATTTTAATCCCAGCTGTTCTGTGTTTGTTTTCGAGCTGGCCAGCGTTGTTGTTGTTGTCGCCTTCGTTCTTGGTGCCAGTGTTATTGTTATCTATCATGCCGTCGTTCATCATCTGGCGGTGGAAATATCGGGTTCCCGCTCAAAATACTTGTGACCGTCGCTTCGAGGGTTTCGGGTGAACATCGACGAGTCCGTGAATAGCGTCCTACAGCTTCCAGATAGTAGCGATCCTTAAATTCTAGGCCTAACTCGAGATGGTATGTCCATCCCGTCTCACCTCGAATTGCCATTGCGTCGATTGGAGGAGTTGACGCGCCTGGTCGTGGGCACAGCCAGCTGCCAGAGCGAACTGGTTAATCATGACTTGCTGACGCATCTGCTCGACGTCCATTTTCGTCAAAGTCCAACAAGAAAATTATCGCTCCTCGTCGTCGTCGTTGTTGTTGGCGGTTGCAGCGGCAACTGGGGACCGAGCAGCAGTAGTGGCTCGAGAAAAACAAGTTCTGCCCTCAGTCAGATGTTCGGACGTGTTCGAAGACGTGTCCTCCACCGTCCGTCGATACCGATCGTTCGCGCGAATATCAGTCTCTCGATGTGTGCGACCAATCGGGCACGACAGAGGCACACTCACAATAACACTCTTCTCTCAATTCACAACATCCGAAACACGCAACAGCACCAAAATATCAACACAAACACAGATCATAGAGCCGCCAGTGCACAGTGTCGCTGGGTACCGAGTGATGACGTCACGCGCGTAGCTGTGGGCGATGACGCAGTGGACTCGAATGGCGAAATACCCGCGATTCGCACTCAGCTCCCGACAGGCTAGTCCCGAGCTGGAACTCCAAGTTCGGTTTGTCTGCCTGGAACCTCACAGAATGGAGAGGCCTGGATGGAATCGTCCGGATGCCGATGTCTCCTGCATCCCATGTCGCCATCTTTGATGACGTCATAGGCCGTCGCTTGGCGCCTCCACACTCGGGCTTAGCGCTAGATCCGGGCCTGAACGAGAGCGAGCCTACCCCTTCTACAGGAACAGATTCAATCATCTTCAGAATGATATCCACAGTCCTGTTCATTCACTGCCCTTGTCTCGTTCATGCATTCTATGATGTGATCATTGGAAGGATCTATAGAGCGAACGATTTGCTTGCTCAGATCGAATCTCCCCCGAGAAAACATGAAGTGACGTCGTTAGAGCGCTCATCGAGGAGTTTGTCAGAAATTTTCTCCTGATCGCTTCCGCTAGAGGGAGACGCTTATGTTTGACATATTGACAGTGGCGGAATGCGCCGCTAACATTTACAAGTCGGAAGCAGTCCAAGTACTGATTACGACGCGACGTTTTCCCCCGCGGGGATATTGCGAGGGAGTCCCGCCCAACCCCACGAAGATGGCTCTGGCCCTCCGTGTTCCGAAGAGGAATCCCGACAAGAGTTCCAGATTAAGGTTCCGGACGGAGAATGACGGACGATAATGGAGCGAGATCGAGCTTGCTCAATCCTTCGCGGAACAGCATCATCGAACATCTGTAACTACAATCATCTTCTGCGGCAGAACCGGTCAGAGGAGTAGCCGTGTACAGCACTGACTGCGCATTCGAACCCCTGGATACGACATGGTTTGAACCTCAGGATCTTGACGCAGAATCGCCTCGGCAGTACCGCCCGCCACAGCGGTCTTGCCAGAGCATCTCATGTTTCAATTAATTTAGATCAGCCGTATAAGAGGCGGTGTTGGAGTCCCGGAATGAGGGGATTGCGACGAGGATCGCGGTAGTAGACCAGTTCTCACGCCCAAGCGAGCAATCCCGGATGCAGTTCTGAGGTGAACGATTGAGAGCTCATATCGGCTGACAGGGTTCAGCCGATGGATGTCCGCTCTAGACGTCTGAAGTAATCTAAGGCTTTTCACTCGCCGAAAAATGGTGGAGTGCTCTTGTCCCGACGACTACGACGTCGGTTTCGTCGCGATTATGGATTATGGAGCTCGGGGCTTCTATGAGCTCCAGGGGGGCAGAACTACAGAACCACCTTGGTGATTTTCCCGAGCTGGCAACTTCTGTTCGATCCAAGCCGAGACGCTCTTGCCATGCCAACGCATCATCATCATGGGCATATGATATTCCCAAAGCTTGATGGCAGGGACTCTTCACCGAAATCCGTCACGGGGACTTCGAAAGCTCGGACGTAATTAATAGATTTTGATCGAACTATGTATGTCATACGTATCACCGACGGCGAACAATTCATTTTCACGATGGTTTGATGAGCAGCTCATGGGAATAACCGCACGGGAACGGATCCTTTCACATCAGTACTACCCAAGCAATCATAAGTGATAGTTTGCTCGATGGGAACCCGAGAAACGCCCAGGACTTGCGTCAAGCTGGGTCTTTGAATCAGTATCACGAGGAAGGAGACCGATAGAGTTGTTTTATTAATGTCGGACTCATCGAATTCTTGGATTCTACTGCCAGCCCCAGGGACGTGTGCCACGAATAGTCTACGGTTTGCACCGTTTCAGCGTCGAGCATGTCCAGCGACGACGAGGGTCGTATCCGGATCTTCATCTTGGAATCTCAGGCTCCAGGGAGCACAATGGCTCTCTTCGGTTGCCGTCGCCTCCCCTGTTCGGGGACTGGGTTTCAGAGGTCGGGAAGGTCAGCAGGAATCCGAACAGGTAGTCGAGGGATTCCGCTCTCAGGGTGATGGAGAGGGGCGGATTCGGAGGGCGAGGCAGCGGCTCGATAGGGAGGCTCACGTTCAAGCCCTGTAAACGTCGTCGTTCTTTCAATAATCCACGATCCGAGACATTTGGAGCGAGGTTTAAAACGATGCAGCCATCCGAGGACTCTCCCACGTTCTTCTTCAACAGGTCTCGGGGAGCTGATCGCTGCGATGCTCATTTCAAAGTCAGTAATAAGCAGCGCCTTTGACTCCCGTATCTTCGCGGGGCATTTCGATTCGTCCGAGGCCGCCGTGTTCCTGCTATTGGATCACCACATGCTTCATTCTCACGAATCCAACCACCGAATGTCAGGAGGAGTCATTCCACAGTCCCAGTTTTTATTCGTTAGCGGTCCTGAACCCCTATTTCTGCCGTTTGCCCTGGTGGGTTCTCTTCTTCAGGAATCAGGTACGGGCGGACGATTTCCGGGAGATTCTTCACGAGAGGGTAGAATGATTCGACGAAGAAGACAACGAGAACAATTGAGATGCAGAAGATGAATACTGGTTGTATTTTGCGAAAACTTCGCATGTCGAACCAGTCCACGCTTGTGTTGAACTCGATGTACCGGTCTTGCCCGTCCGCGCTCTGCACGTTCACGATATGTTGGTCTATTTTCGCGTCTATTTTGCTTATGACTCCCGCGAGATATCGCTCGACATCTCTCCGTGAAGCACCCGATCGCTCTGTCGTTACGAGACCGAACTGCATAGATCGCTTAATTGCTGAGCTCAACCGGGGAAGTACCAGTGTCATCTGACCTTTGGAGGGTAGTGACAAATATAAAACCGCCCCCACAAAGCTATAGCTCTGGTCAAACTTGGTCACTGGGAAATTTTCAGCTTCAACGATTTTCCGTCGTAAAGGTTTTCCAGCGAGTTGACGTTGCTCCGCCGCGATGTTCGTCACACAGGCTCCTTCCATGAGATGAGCTCGAACATGGAGTGGACGGTAGCATTCCATGGTTAATCGACAATCTTTGAGACGTTCGCAAACGGTCGGAAGTTCCGGGTCGAGGAAGGACGACATGATGAAGTTCGTGTAGACCTGACCGACAAGGAAACAAAGAGCCAGAACGCAGCCGAGTAACGCGACATGAGAGTATCGTCGGATATGGACTTTCAACTCGATGACTGAGATGAAGCTCGTCAGGACGCTCCCGAGCAAATCTCCGAAGCGCTCGAATTTCAGGAGAGACATCATCTCGACCAAGGTAAGGACTGAGCCGAGGATCATCAGCCAGACTCCGACGCTGAAAACTTCGACCAGAGCCGCCACATCAGTCTCACGTCCTTTTCGGAAAGCGAAGCTCTCGATCGCGCCCTCGCGATGAACGGAGTACTGGTTTAGGAGGTGTCGTTCATCTCGCGATATGGCTTTGTGAGTTGTATTAAACCAGGAGTCGAAGACGGTAGTGTTACACATCGTCGACAGATGGAGATCTGATCTCATGTAGGCGAAATGGGTATACCGCACACGGTCGATTGAAAGCGTGGAGCACAGTCCCTCGGACGTCACACACTCGTTCATCGAAGAATTCGTCCGCCAATAAATTGTGTGGTCGAAACGTTTGACGCATTGGAAGCGACGAGTTCCATCCCTGTACCAGAACAAGGAGTTCACGAAAAATGTCTTCCCGAACGCATAGTCTTCCTTCACCGATATATGCAGCAAACACTTGTCACGAAAATTCTGGAAGGGGTCTGGGGTTCTCGGGTCTAACAAGAAGAAAGCCGTGTACCTCATCGATGATATGACAACGACTCGCAGTCCACTTGCTAGAACTTCAGAGAAAAGAGCGATGGATGAAGCGCGCATGTCCAAGGTGAATTTGAATGGATTGATCGCCAGCAAGCTCGCGTTGAGCTTCAGACTTTCTCGCGGTAAGAATGCTCCGAGGCTCAGAATTAAAAGTTTAGTTGGCCCAAAGTTCCGGTGAGATGCGAATCTCTCAGCCTCCATCACGACATTCATCGCCGTCTGCTCCTTAACATCCTCACTCACCGCACTTGCGGGGGGCATGAGGCAAATCAGAACGAATGAGATACTGTTGAGCATGTCAATCTTCATCGGGCGCTCTCTCAGAGGGATGAATGTGGGCTAATAGTTGGAGAGTCCGAACAAATGCCGGCCGAGAAACGGTGCGCGAAGCGAAGCCTGGGAGAGAAGTGAAGCCGGCGATTCATTGTCGCGACAGAGAATCGATTTCCGTCTATACCGACGTGGCTTCACCGTGTACATTGGAAGAATCGTATCCGATATGATGCGATTCCTTCGCGTCCTTTCCCTAGGACGCTGTGAAATATGGACGAAGCTCTGAATTCTCGCCCGAAATCGATTTCAAGACTTGGCTACAAAGGCAATCTATCGCGTGGGGTGAATATTCTTTACTTGCATACGAAGCTTCCCCGGAGCGGGGAACATCGAGTAAGGAGGCTACGATATCCTTCCGTTAGCGAACGCGCATCGTGAGCAAGGACGCGTGGGACGTCTTCGCGACGATCGATGCACGCATCAGGGAAAGCAGAATCATGTGAATCCAGGGAAGGTGTGAGCTCGGAAGCCTTTACACCGTTATTACTTCGAACATGAACAAACCAATGCTACTGAAATCTCTCGTGGAGTTTATTCCGAATCGCTTTCGAGGAATGCATATCAGCAATAGTAAGGATTCTATCTTGTAAATAGAGTCGCGTGAGTCTGACTCAGAACGAGAATTTTCAGACTCCGTCGCTCCTTTCGAGCTCAGCTGAATTCCTCACTCAGACGCAGGACCAAGATCTTTCTGAAACGAAATCACACATGCGAATGTATGGGAATGTGGCTGACAATAAGGTTGAGCTCGGAGAAAGGATACCGTGTAATTCACATGCTTGGCCTCCGTCGGAGCATGACACTCCCGGCACACTAAGCGGTTCCCGCTCTCCACCGTTAGAGAGCTCCCTAGAGAGTAAAATTTGACAACCATCTCCCCCGATTCCCGATCAGCTCGGAGAATACTTGAGAGATAGAAGAGAATATTTTAGCCAAATTGGCGTATGAGACAGACCTCGGGGGTACGGTATGAGCGAATATTGATCGCATGAAATTAAAATCAAGGAGTTAAGTCTGTAGCGGACTAGGCTGGCGCCTCGTCTGCGAGCAGTCTCCCGGCGGGTCGGGACGCGTAAACAAGGAGCACCCGCGAAAAACTTGATCAAAGAGCTTCGAGTGAGAGGAGAAAGGGGAGTGAACATGCTCCAGACATCATTTGCATCCTTCACGAATCGCATTTGGAGTGGGATAAGATCAGAGACTCCGTCGGTTTGATGGGCAACGGATTGTGGACCGGGAATTCTTCCTCTTGGAGTGCGAGATTATCTCTCGGGGATGTCACTTCGAAACTATTAGGTTGACCAGGAAATTTCGTCCATAGTATTTCCTGGGTCTGATACCCGTTTCGTTCCGTCGCCGGATCGGATTCTCTTTACATAACGTGAAGCCCTATCAAATTTGAGACGGAGAAGAAGCCATCGCGATTCGACCCACCTGAGGGAAGTCCAAGAAGTTTGTATCACAATCGGACTTTCCTCAGTAGGTATGAGAACCAAGAAATTCGAAGGAATTCGGGAGGAGGTCCGAGGAGTCGGTGAGCTGAACCTTGGGAAGAGCCCCCGAGCTTCCGATCGACGTCACTGTCATCGAAATCACTCGGAGAAAGTTGATCGAAGCGCCGACGCGCTCTCGGTTTCTCCATGCTTGGACGAAGCTGCTCATCGATTTGGCACGGAGATGCCTCGTCGTTCGGCGCGATTCCAGCGAAACGAACTTCCCAGGCAAAGTTGCCCCTTCGTAAGCTCAGGCAGACCGCTCGCTGGGTACACTCGGCCTCCGGATCCATGAGATGTGCCTGAACGTCGGGCCTATCAACAGGAACGCCGGATTGAAAACCTCTTGCGATCTAAGCCCTCCTTGGAGAATGGTGTCGGCGCCACGGATAAGTTCGATAAAGTTTCTCGGCCGATTCTATAGGGCCCGAGAAGAGAGCTTGAGATCATTCCCCAAGCAGTTTCTCAATGCTGGATCTTCAATCTCGAAGGGCATATCGGCGCGAGCGTGCGAAAAAACTGAGGCGCACATGGAAGCATGTGGACGTGCGAGGCGTAGATTGCAAGATCTGAGCACAGTGATCGGGTGTTCGAATCCGTGAACAAGCCTTTCCTACGGCGGTACGTTCGAAACTTGATTAGCCGAGAGCGCGCTAAAACATGAAAAGCGACAAAGCGTTTGCTAGAACGTAAGCGAGAACGCTCACAAAATCAGTACACGATGGAGTCTCAAAAAAGCAGAATCAGATTCCTGATTCAGGTTTTCCACCGCGAAGGGTGTAGTGCCGAGGTGATTCTCGGAAAGCTCAGCGCGAACTTGTCCGGCAAGATGCCATCAACGCGGACTATACGCAGGTGGATCAAGCGGTTTGAGAGCGGGGAAATCAGCCTAGCTGATAAGCCTCGATCGGGACGCCCACGCCGGCACGATCGGGCTTCTGTCCTGCTAACCTGCGACGAGAATCCAAGGAAGAGCCTGCGACAGTTGTCTACTTCCACTGGTGTGCCGAAGTCAACGGTGCATGCGATACTGAAGGAGGCCGGATACCGTAGTCGAAGGAACCAATGGCTCCCTCACAACCTGACGCCTCTTCAGAAAGCCAATCGAGTCCGAATCTGTGCGGAGTTGCTCCGCAAGAATGAGCGAGAGCCGTTTCTCGACAGAATCATAACAGGAGACGAGAAGTGGATAAGCTTCAATAATGTCGCTCTCGGTAAGAGCTGGGTGCAGCCCGGGACTGCCCCAGCCACCACTGCCGGTGCCGGTCTTCATCCGAGAAAAGTCATGTTAAGCATATGGTGGGATGTCCGAGGAATCGTCTTCTATGAATTGCTGCCGGAAGGAACTTCTGTGGACTCTGCAAAATACTGCGAGCAGCTTGAGCGTGTGAAGGAAGCGCTCCAGCGAGACCGCTCAAGCCGTAGGAACCGCAGAGGAATTGTCTTCCACCATGATAACGCAAGACCACACACGAGCCGGCTAACTCGCCAGAAATTGAGCGCTCTCGGCTGGGAGGTTATGCCTCACCCCCCTTACAGCCCGGACATCGCTCCATCCGATTTTCATCTCTTCAGATCCATGCAACATTCACTAGAGGGAAAGATTTTCAATAACGTGGAGGAGGTGAGGTTGCACCTGGACCACTATTTCGGAACTAGGGATCTCGAATTTTGGCGACGAGGAATAGAGAAGCTCCCCGAAATATGGCACGAGATAGTGTCCAGGGGAGGAGAGTATCACACCGACTGACACCACTGGGTGAATAAATTTTTGCTAGAGCTCCATTACCCACTTCTGTCGATGATCATTTCATCGCTTCTCATTCCTTTCTTATCGCAGTCTCTCTTTCTATTCTCGCTGACGACCTGTTGGCCGTTAGTCCGTTAGATGATTCTTCCCCTGCCTTCCGAAATGACGCTTGTGATTTCTGGCGACTGTGAGCATTGTGTGCCTTGAGTCTCGACGAGGCTCGAGGTGTTGAGCATCCCCGTCGAGATGGCGAGTTAGTGGAGACTCCCCTCAGAAGATGTGGCGCGATCCCGATCATGACGGCCCGAGCGGAGCGGATCGTCGAAATGATTTCTCTCCGGGCAATCGGTCAGTCTTCGAGAGTCGACGTGGTCCCCCCTTCAGACACAGTGCGTGAATTGCCCACCCGCATCATCGAATGTCATCAAAAAGATCCTTTGTGTCCTTGCGCATATTGTCAGCCATCAGTATTGCTCATTGAGAGCCAGAACACCGTTTTTCGCCGGAATTTCGGCGACCGATGAGACCAATCCCGCCTTCTTCCCAGAGATTCCGAAAGATGTCCAGAGGAGAGCCCCAAAGCTCTCTTGGAGGCCGAGCCCTGTGATGTTTCTGTTTCCTCCTGAGTTCCCCGGAGTTCTTGAAAATCACAACCTCCCACAAAATTCAGATTGCGATGAAACTCCCCGGTAGCCCACCAGCAATGACGGATTGCGATTGCGTCTTCCGCGCAGCAAAGATGATAGACTTCAACATATTCAGAGCAGAAAGACAGGGAACCACGTCGATTCGAAGCTCTGGGGCTCTTTCGAAGGTCGAGCTCACTGTCTCCTTAGAATCCTTCGAATTTCTTGGTTTCCATATCTACCGAGAAAAATCCGATCGTGATAGCTAGAGAACCCCCTTGGACCTCCCTCAGGTGGGTTGTATTGCGATGCTCCAATCCCGTCTCAAGTCTCAAAGTTGATAGAACTTTGCATTGGGTGGAGAGAATTCGAGCCGGCGTCGTGACAAAACGGGTATCAGACCCTGAAAATTATATGGACAGAATTTCCTGGTCAACCTAATAGAAAGCGTTTGACTCATGGTGATGCGGCACAATCCTGGGATTCGAGTATGGCGATGGATCTAGCTAACCTTGGCTGACTGTCGCCCGCAGAAGTCTGCAGACGGACCATCGAAGATTACTCGTAGTCAATTCGGAGTGATCAGTCATCAGATGGGATTAACATACATAACATAGTAGCCGGCGTTTGCGGACGTGCCAATGTGAAATGCGCACCACAGGTGCTCCGAGAAACTCAGAACCGGATTATCACTCTTTTCGCGATCCGAATTCGGGATGTCAGAGCCAAAAATTTCATGGCGTGAGGGACGCTGGAGTCGGATTCGGCTCATTCGCTCAAGATGTAATGCGGGCTTACAGACTCCAGCAGACAGACTGACTTCACGAATTAAGAGCCGACTGATAATGAATGAAAAGTATTTTCATTTATTGTTCTCCCATACATAGTTTGTGATTATATAATCGCCTGCATATTCATATCATCGGTGATCGCAATCGAAGTGTTGCGTATCGTTGAATGACTGACAGTCTTTCGCCGAACTTGGGACGAGACCTGAGAGAAGTTAGAGAGACTCTTGCTCGAAGTCTTCTCGTGGTCTTAGAAGACACGGATTCAGTGGCTCACTTAGCGCCCAATAGGTTTCGTACTGGGAACGGCTAGTAGACGCAAGAACTGCCGCTCTCTCTCCCTCCAGAACAATCACGACTTTCCCGACCATTCTCTCGGTACTGGAGTCGACCGGAAATGCGAGCGGAAATTCGGCTTGAGGACTCGTGCAGCCGTTTTGCTGCGTTTGATCGCGATTTCTGTGTTCATGATCATATGATCATTGGTCATCCACATGTCTTTGTTCCCTTTCCGAGCTCATTCACTCGACACAGCGAATGTGACCGTCTCCTGATCCCTGAGACAAGTAGGTGATGGCGGAGAGAAGAGGGCTAGCGAATTAAAATAGTGAATATCATGATCATTCATATCATTATCATTATAATAAATAAGTTTCGGGCTCAGAGTGTTTTGGCCCTGGTCAGGAGTTCCTTCACGAAATTCTCGACGTCCTGACGGCTTTTCTTCGCTCCATGGAGCTTGCTCAACAGAAACTCCTTCCGAATGAGGTCACTCTCCATGTCCAGAACTTCGTCGAGGTCGATTTCCACTTCGCTGTTAGTGTCGGTCTGCAAGGAAAAGATTGAGTGTGATCCTCCGTGAACAATCGGGAGTATTTTTTGTCCTTGAATACTGATATCAGAGAATATCGATATCAGCCACAAAGCAGACTAGTTTTCTTCACTGATGACGATCTAAAAATTCAGTACCCCAGAACAACAGAGCCTCTCTTTTGGAATTCGCGAGGATGAGTTCGACTGCCGCCGAGCATTAGCCACAGTGTAATCAGAGTCGGAGAGAGATTCCCTCTTATCGATTCCGGCGTGATTCGACAACTATCTTGGATATATGATTGCTAGGATTTGATCCTAAGGGGAATGCTTTGGTGAAAGTTACGCTCGAGCTTTAAAGCTTATAACCGCTATCTTGCCCCCTCTCCATTTTCCCTATCGAGAAGGAAATGGACATCCGGAATTGGTCCTTCGTTTCCTTTACGTTTGAAATTATCCTTAAGGGATAGACTCGCGCGACGGAACAGCCTTGACACATCTCAGGTAGAAGTTGATGCTGCGTCGCTCGGGGAGTCTGACGGAGTCTCGGAAACCTTGCTCCGGATCAGAAAGGGCAAGCGAGACAAAGGCTCTCAAATGTCACTCTGTCATCGTGAGAGCGATAAGCATCGTCCAAAGCACGGTGATATCTTGCGTTGTAGGATTACAATGCGGAGGATGACTTGAGTCACTTCCCGGGCTCGGAGAAACCAAATTTAGGAAGTTTGACATGACTCGAGTGATTGAATCGGATCCGGATCGACGCAATCAGGAGGAAACGCTATATTCACACTCTTGAATTGTTCAGCGAAATTTTCCTCCACGATTCCGGAGCACGTTTCCCAAACTTTCGCGGAGAATCTAGAAGTAGGTTTCGAATTTCGCTTGGCCTACAAGTTCGAGAGCGACCCCCAAGATTTCAGGATTCTGAAATACGACCTAGTTTCAATAGAAAATGTTAATGATGTGGAAGAAGCCACGCGGTCGGATGAGAGGAATATTCCGTTATAGCACGGAAAGTACGTGTCTTTCTCGCGGTACCCCTTCTACCACCTTCCTCGAGTGGTGGGCTCGGACGCCGTTGCTCCAGAAAAGATGATTCAGCTCCTATCGGGATCATTCCAGCCGAATGCAAAGCAGACGCGGAAACCGTGGGTTTTGGTTGACCGAAGGAAAAAGCGCTCACTTCCGTTGAGACACGGTGACGATCGCGTGGGTTGCACTGTGCCGTTAATACAAATCGTCGAAATGATGGGGACGGGAATAACGGCAGGAGAAACGAACGGAGATGTGAGCCTGTTTGAACAGAAAACGGTCAAGAAGAATGAATAACGAAAAGGTAAGGTTCCCCCGGAACTATACTGGGCTCGCGGGCACTGGAACAGATCTCTGAATTAAATACACACACGGTGGTCTGATGACGGGTCATTATGGATGACAAAGACCATGATCGCGAGCAGAGACGGGAGGAAGGGAGAATATGGAGGAGCAGGGCACCACCGTGTTGGGTGAAACCAGGGATTTCCATGGGAGCGGCTGTTTTGAGTTTCGGTCCCGGAATTTTCGACGATATCTCTACTCCATTGAAATCACACCGGAGAACTTCTACGCAAAGGCACATTACGCTTTCTCTGCGGGAGCTGAGCGATCTGGGGAACGACAGTATCTTGATGATTTCTTGCTGAAGCTTTCCGTTTTGAATTGCAATGCTCCAGTTCAAAGAATCGCTCAGAACGCTCTCCAGGGACAATCTGAGCGGAGTTCCGAGGCCATTCCCCCTTCCCCGATCCTCGATAATTTAATGCGTCGATTGCATGGCAGCCGAGACCTGTCCGGGCTGGAGCCGAGCAACAAGTTCACCGCCAGCAGTCAACAAAGCAACCAGTCCATCGGCAACGGTGGCGGCGGGACGGCTATTCGGGCAGCGTCGCAGACCCTTGCCTGGACGACTTCAGACTCCATAACAATAGAAGACGCTAGCCGACGAGTGGGAGGAACGACACACTGCCCTGCTGCTCTTCCAAGAGCAACGCTACAGAGACGGCAGATCATCCTTTGTCTATCGGCTTGTTCGGCTCTGAGCTTGAGTCAGACCAATGAGAGACGAACCAGCCGGTGCATGAGTGTTGACGGCCACGTTGATCCACATTAATGTCCTAGAAGCTGAAGCATCCAAGCGATCACTCGGATGAAGTATCGATAAATAGATGAACGCAGCGATTCACCAAGACACCGATCTATCAATCTATCTATCTGCCGAAACATCGATGAAGCGACGAGTCCGCCGTTCGTCTGACTGAGTGAGAGGTGCGATACATCCTGATCGACAGGGAAGCGCCATAGTCCCTTGGATCGATATAAGCTTTTCATCAAATCGATTCCCCGAGAACTGCGATCGATATGTCAGCTGATCGGAGCCGTCCAGCTCGGAACGAACTCGGGAAACATGATCGGGACACGTCGGATTTTGATCGAGAGCATTTGACCAACGCCTCGGAGATCCGTAGCGAATTTTTAATTTGCGAAGGAAGGTCTCGTCTGCGTTTGACCTGCCCTACGGCGTTGCGCCGCGCGTCGATCAAGCTCAGTGATAGAGAAATTATCGGCATGAGCCCTTGCGGGACTCTCACGGCCCACTCAAATGTACTTTTTTTGAATCGTTCGTCGACGCGGCCAAGAATGTCATTTTGCTTCCGCTGTCGGAACGCTCGGAGAGGGAATCCGATTGCGCTCCGTCTTCCCACATATAACGGTGCCGTGCCAGCGTGCGCGCAATCGCATTCCTTCGATGGGGGCAAGCATATCAGTTCGTCGGACACGAATGTTCTGATACAACATACGGGATTCGCAATCCGTCTGCTCTCGGCGGGGATCCAGATCGCAAGTAGATCGTAGCTCCCGCCATAGGTCTCTAAATGGAAGTTACTCGAATTCCGGGACGACAGCTTGAGAGAAAAAATATGGTCCAATTCCGGAGAACGCGGTCCCTGCTGATTCCCGAGATTCGCCGTGAGTCGAGTTGCTCTATCAGCGTTATTTCTGGAACGCGTTCAGGAATGACGCAGGCTCCCCTCAGCGCACTCATTCTGAATAATTGAGAAGCGCGTTCTCAGTGCTCGGGGACTTTTCATCAAACTGCGTCACGCTCGACCCTAATCTTTGTTGACAAGGAGCGGAACCTTTCTATCGGTCATCATCAATTTCGGGGACGCGGACGATTAGAGCTGCTACAGCGCGAACAAGCGCTCCCTGACACACTCCTAATCTTCTCGGAAATCCACGTCGGGTCCATTCCGAAGCTCTTTTTCAATGTGAGTAGCACGCATTAAGACACCTCGAAAATTCTTTTCAGTCTAGCAATTCTCTCCGCTCCTGAGCTTGGAAGAAAAGTGGCAGCTGGGAACTCGACTTTTCTTCGGGTAATTTCCAAACCCCGCTTGCCGGTCCGCCGAATCTACCGATTTCCCTTTCGATCTCTCTCCAGCTTTTCCGACACTTCCTCATTTATCGTTCCTGCTCCTCGAAATTTCCCGCATTCCCCCCTGCCGGACCTCAGACTCAGCACTCTTTTCGGGGCGCTCTCACGATAGCACTGATGATAACAGTAGACGATACTTGCGGGAGAGATCAAGCCCGAAGCGAGAGCTCACAAACACTTGACTCGGTAGATAGACTGTTCGAGAGCGGAAACTCAGAACGCGACAACAGCCGGGGATCACTATCAGTCTGAGACTCCGACATGGAGCTGTTTGGGTCGCTCCCGGAAAGTCCGGATGAGAGCCTACTTTTTTCGCAGGTTCTCGATGTTCCCTGAGCAATCGAGGGGCTCCGATTTTCATCAGCTGAGATTCCGGGACAATCTTCGTCTCCTTTGAGGCGATAGCAGTCCCGCACAGAGATTGGTACTGGGAAGTCGGGCGCGAGCAAATGAAACTCCTTTCGTCGGCTTCAGCGGTTTCAGCTTGCACACAACTGAAACTCATCTCACTCCCGTCCTAACAGCAAAGATCCTCTTTCCTTCCCTGTCCCTGACGGCCGCAGTTTCGTACCCCGCGTTGACGTCTACGAATATGCATATGTGATCGCTGGTTATTTGCAGAACTTTATCCGGTTTCGGCTTGGAAAACTTTCGTAGGAGGAAACGTTAACTAGGAGGAGATATCACCCGCCTCCTCTGGATTATGGAGGCTCTGAATTCCCACCGTCGGAATTTCCTGCGTACCGCCGGCGCCGGTCGAGAGCCGCGGGAGACGACGTATCTTGAAATGGCCAGAATGTTTGTATGGTCAGATCGAGAAACTCCAAATCCAGATTATCCGCGGAGAGTTCCGAGGCTTTATGAATGTAGAATGAGAACTTCGTTCTGGGACCATATTCACGCGAGTGAGTCGCCTTCTGATCGACCTTGCTTCCATTTTCTGGAGCCGTCAAGCGTCACGTTAGAAAAATACAGCACTTAACGATGACGTCCGACAACGGCGAAAAGAAGTAAGTTCTGTCGAATGCTCGAGTCATGCGTGAGTTCCGAGTTCGAGCCCCGCTCATTTCACACTGTTCGTCTCGACTGAACGGTTTTGAGGAGAAAAATCAAATTTAAGGCTCTGACCTTGGACGCATAGAGATGTTGGAGCTGGTCGTACATCCACATTTCGACTTGCAAACGTTTCTTGATCAGAGCCATCTGATGAGCGCCGTACTTCGCGGTGAGGTACTTCTTCTTGCGTTCTCCCACATCTTCATTGTCCTCAGAAAACGCCACGTGGAGACTTTTCGCCTGCGATGTGGGCACGCACATGCTTCCGGCTTGCATTCTGAAAAGTTTAGAGGAACAATCTGGTGAGGGAAGAGTGGAATTCTGATTGACACTCGGAATAACTGATCCAACTCTCAGACGGATTAGTAGACTTATTACTCAGAGGAACTACGACACATGTTTCCCGCGGCTAGATCTTCGTAACCGGAGCGACAAGCATCATCATTCGAGCATCCTCGATTGGGCGGTGCCCTCAATGTGTTTATATATACTGAGCTCGATCGCTGCCAGGGCCCGTGCGGTCTTATCGTCACGGGAATGAGAATATTCCCCGGGGGAATCCTGACGTGAATCCTGACGGAACTTCTGCCTTCCTTCCCGGACGGCGTGGCGTCACGTCACAGAGTCGAATCAATAATAATCAACGGGATGCAAGCTTCCGAAAGAATTCTCGACCGAGTTGGGTACTTGGCCACCCGTCGGGCCACTTCGGAAGGGAGTCATAAGATAGACCGCGATAGGGGAAGTGGAGGGACGCGTGAGAGAGCCTGCGTCAGCAGACACTTCAAGTCCTCGTGATTGTAATCCTCGCGTAAATGAAGAACGAGAGAAGGTCATGGTGTTCCTAATAAGTTTATTCTCAAAGGTCTTCGCCAAATCGTTGTAATGGTTGATAGCAGATCGAATCCTCCAATCAGATGACCTTCATAAATTGACTTCGACGCAGCTACGGCTCAATCCCGGGTCTAGTCTGCGGGTAAGTCCCTCCTCAAAGAGATGATCACGATTATAAGCATCGATAAACGGCGAGATCTTCCTAGCATTAGCGACGTCAGCCCTGATGCCTGAGAGCTGAGCTCGGATTAGGCTTCTACCTCGTCCGAGCTCTACCCGTGCTCAACTTGAAAGATCGACAAGCCTTCTCCCCCTCAATGAGGTTCCGGAAACCCTCATCGCTCCCCTCCGACTGGGAGAAGAGACAAGGAGGTACCGTATAATTATTCGCACTCTGAAATCAAGAGTCATGGACCATGAGATTCTATCCGCGTATCGATGATGGCAAGTGCTTACGACCTTCATCCGATCTTCATCCGCGGATTCGCCGGTGCCGCCGCCAGCCATTGATCTCCCATGCCTGATCGGTGAGTTTCTACATCATCAGTGTCGTGAGTAACATTAGCGCCACGATTTACAGCTAAAAACGATATCTAAGAGCGCTCGCTCGTAAAGCCATTGCTTCTCTCGGTGCTCTCTTCGGCGGAGAAATTCCTTACTTCCCTTGTCGAAAAGTTTCGGAACAACAATCCTTCAACAAAAAGACTCTGGTCTTTCACTGAAGTTGCATGGAGCTCCCACTAATCCTCGGCGGTGAAAAAAAAAGTTCATCGACCGCTGCGCATAACATCATCGCCGAATGCTTGCTCGTGTGGTCGCGCCGCGGACTCACTGACTGCACCGCAGCCCGGCGCAATCGACCGGCTGTGGAGCCGGTGCCGACTGTTTCGAGCCGAAACTCGGCGATGACGTGAGGTCTCGGGAAACAGAACTTCCGAAAATTCTTGAAACACGATATCCACGAAGAAGTTTCCGAGAACCGGAGACGCGGAGCTCATGAGCACGAGGATCTTGCTTGGCTTTTTTTCTCTGAAACTTCAATGTATCTCTTCTCTGACTCGCTGGCTGAATGAGTTGTCCCAACCATGCTGTTTCTTCTCTCCGAGGGAAAAAACGCAAATACGAGATGTATCAGGCGATCACAGTCCGTTCGAGACTCTGCCTCGTTTCGAGTGATGATTCGGCGCTTCACAGCATGAATCGACCGATCTTCACTGATGTGCGAGCAGTGGATCGAGCGAGCCTGTTCGAGACTCATTCCGAATGCGCATCGTTACCTCGATTATCATAACCACCGTCTCAGCGGCCATCAGCTGACTTATTCGGCAGTTCCCTTGCGTGTTGTTGATATTTCTCAACGCGTGGGAATTTAGGGATGATCAAGCCGGGGATATTCGCTTTTCAAGCTTGTCAATAACAACAAGGTCTCAACGCGATGAGGGCACGGAGCGATCGTCAGCGAAAACTGGTAAAACGTGAGTATTTTCCCGATGGGTGTCCAGCTCCAAAGATCGACTATAATTCGACTTTCGTGGACCGCTACCGGTCGATATTTTTTCAACTATCGAGCTGTGGGATTGCGGATTTTCCCGGCATGTTCTCGTCCCGTGCCCCATCTGCCGCACCCAGTCCGGAATGTGCATTTTGCTCAGTGGAGATGCGGTAGTACAGCGTCAGGCATTTCATTGGTCAGGGGAGACGCCGAAATGACTGCATGCGGTCGAAGGCATGAACCCAGCCGCGAACAGTCTCCGCTTCATTTAAATGACGCGCTGGAAGAGAAGCGACGCCGGCGAGAGAAACCACATTGATGGACCGATAAGTTGTTTCTGAGATACGCGGAACCCACCTCTGCGACGGTTGCGGCGAGCCGATGGAACGAAAACAGAAAAAGTCAAAGAGACCGAACAAGTACTAATCACAACCGACGACTCCTATCCGGGCCTCCTCGCCGTTCTTCCGAATCGTGTCCGAACTCTCCAGCGCGATAGCCTCATCATTTCATCTCGGGACGATACGTTTTCTTTCCGTACCTCGTCTCAGCGGGCCTACGAGGATTGGCTTTGGATTCTATGATATAACGGAATTCGACGAAATACACGTCGCGCTGCAGTCTCAAAACGCACACGCATTCTCGCTCGGACGATTAGCTAATCCTCGTTGGCTCGTTAAACCCACTGCAACCGCTTGAGCGGTCGTAACCGATGCAATATCTCGTATGACGGCTAATCATGGCGGGCGAGAAATCTGACTGACTGAGCAAAATTTCCGAAGTGATGCGAAGGCAATTACCGTAGGAGTGAGACTACATATTTCCTCTCATTCTCGTTCAGCTCCGCAGACTCCCGTTCCGTACATGGTTCGTGAACCAGAAAACATCGACCGCGAGCAGCTGTCCAACGGAACTGAAGGAAACCGCATTATTATGAGCTACACACGATACGAAGGCATGAACGGCAACCGGATCGTCCGCAGAAAAGGAAAAAAAAAACGTTTTGTTCTGAAGCAGCACAAAAATTAATTTGCGACTTCGCTCACTAGATCGTCCGATGGAGTCGTGATACACGAACGCTTCTCACCCATATTTCAGCTCCAAACTCGGCTCCCTGCCCAGCAGAATGCGGTTGAGACGTCTTCCCTTCGGTCGCATAAACAACGGGATTTTTGATGAGCCCTCGGGACCGCTGAACGATATCTGAACAAATATTCCATTCTGTGGATTCAGAGTGTAAACTATGGATGCAGACTCATTCAGTCAAATTAAATAAGCTCCACCGAGCTTCTTCGAGCCGCTTCTCGTAGGAAAATTTCCGGAATCGGAGTCGAGCGATTCCTCTGCTGAACGGAGTGAGCAATCGATCATAAAATTCCTGAATTGCGAAACTGCAGTGACGCGAGTGGATCTGCATGCGAATGGTATCTCGACTGAGATCTGTCTCCGTCGATCTCGATGAGGGATGCAAAGGAGTGATTTTCTGAGCGAAACAGGTCACCGAGCATTCCTTTTACGTAATCGCTCCAAGGTACCCATGAAAAAGGCTACGGAACGTTTTTCTACTTTGAGTCCCCCGCTCGCATTTCCCTACGAGCCATGAGCTCCTGAAAGGTTTTCATTCTACCGACTCTCGCGTAGAATCTAGGTACCTGGATTCTATGCAGGCGGAGGCGATATAGTCTCGCTTCAAATCATCGATTACCGATTGCCGGTGAGAAGACTCCTCACTCCGTCGCCGTGAACTCTCGTCACGGTTCCCTCAGTTTTCCTTCATTACGTTCCTTGTAGCAGACTCCGATGGATCTGGCCGAAGACGTGCCGCTACGTGGACTCCCACAATCGATCGCAAAGAGCACAGCGAGAATTTATTCGCCCATTCCATTGTTGACAAAAGCGGGCAGAGGCAGCATCTGATATCGCGGCTTCTCGTGAATATTGCTGATGATCTGCTGGAATCTGTTTCCGACTCCGACGGGTACGGCCTTCACCAGATTAGATTCCGCCGCTCTTGCCCAGCATTTTTTCGCATCGTTCATGACAGCCGAAGTCTTTCCTGTCGGTGATTCCATTTCCAGGAAAGAGGGAGACTCTTCTCTTCGAGCAATCACCTCGCCAAACAATTAGATCAGCCGATTACGACGAGGCAATTTTCTGTTCGCAACGTTAAATCGATCAGGATAGCGCCAGGTTCGCCTCTGTGAGCCGCCGGAACCATTCCGAAACTGCGAATTCACCGACCTTTGGTCAGAATCGGGAGCGCTTGACCTAGAAACACTCGACTTGGATGTCCAGCGAGCGACGACGCCAGCTCATCATCAAGCTGAAAGCGGCTCGGTTCCAAGCGTCGCTCGTCAACAACAAGTTTCCCAATGATCACCGTACTCGAATCAGCGGACGAACAGTGATGATCACGTTCAGACAACCCCTCCAAGGATGGATCAGCTGTAGCGAGCTGCTGCCGGAACGGGAAACGTCACGTCGCCGGTGTTGCGTCCCGTACAGTGTCGCCACTTGAACCGCGTGGAGATGCAACGCCGTAAATTCAGAATTCAAACGTAGTTCGGTACTATGGGACATGGGACCCAGGCTGTGCGTCGGAGAGTCTCTCTGGGACGCATTTTTCGAGTGGCAGATCGGCACTTTGGGATGAGCCGCCGTTTAACGATCCATCGCCGTGGGTGTCGCTCTTCGGACGGGCGGCTGAACAGGAAACCAGGCTCGTTTGCCGGTGAGCTCGTTAGGCGGAGTGTCGTGACAGCTTTCACCCGTTCATAGGATACGTAGGGGAAGAGAGGTGCCTCGTCGTGACTATGAACCGCGTTGCTGGACACGCCATGGGAGATTTTTCACGGAACGACTCCATTCTTCATCCACATTTATTGATAGATACCGAAGCTAGCAGAACGTCTCGGTTACCGCTCGGTTTCTTGTCCGCTTTTCCTACTTCG